ACTGCTTGAGTGGTCAATCTACCGCTCGAGCAGTAACTTGGTTACTCAAGCGAAAAAGCCTCATTCCCAGAATTTCAAACCTGTAGATGAGATATTGGATGGCCCCTTTCATCACTCGAGCAGTCCTCTTTTCTTAAAACATTACAAGTTCCTTCTCTAGTGTCGATCCGATCGTCAGATTCTCTATCTATAGCACCGAGTTACTTCACCTCTAACGAATATTCACATTCCGATCATGGAGTTCTATCTCCGGCGCCGATTTACTCCTAGCATTTTCAATTTATTCCTATCCTTCACCGAAGCTCTCTTTCTCTCTCTTTTTCAATCTACTCCTATACTTCATATTCGTCTCTTTGATCTTCTTACTCCCCAAGGTTAGTAGAATAAGGTTTCTCTTTTTCTCTCTTCTCACTTTGTTCTCTGCTGTTTAAAAAATCAAGCCTAGATAATCAAGACTTGATTCTCATTTTGATCATGGAATGAGAAAGTTTAAAAAATCAAGCCTAGAGAATCAAGTAATGACTTCCAATGCATATCATCTTCTTGAGGTGAGTTTCCTTCAAGCCTCTATTTCAATAACTTCATTTCATTTTTTTTTTTTGTATTTTGTAATCCTAAATTATTGAAATTGAGTTATATGCTCTGTTTGGTGCACTTGGAGTTGTCTATAGTTTTTTTAAACAGATAGTGAGAGAAAGTGGGTTTATGGAAAGAGATAGTGAGAGGGAGTTGGATTTTGTATAAATAAATATAAAAAAAAAAAGATTTTGACATATAGGACCTCTCTCTCCTCTATTTGTGTGTATGTATTAGATTTTGAACATATAGAATAAAAATTGGACAGATAGAAAAAAAACAAAGCTTAGTGAATTTCAACAGATAAGAAAAAATAGCTTGGTGAATTTCAACAAATAGATACAAATTTGAATAGATAGGTTCCAAAAATTGAACGGATAGAAAAAAGATTTGAATAGATAAGTTAAAATAAAAATTTTAATAGATAAGTGGTAATGTCTTTTTGACCAACAAATGTTCTTATGACCCCAATAGTTTCATTATTGTCCTCAAAGACTTATAGGAGTGAGAATATGGATTTATCACCAATTTTTTCTAAATTTAAACCTATTAATTTTTCTCGGTTAAATTGCCCTCATATCCCTTAAGATTTAGGAAAATTACATTTAGTCATACATTTTTGACATAATTATAATGATCTCTTTTAAAATTTTGATTTACACCATTTTCATCAGTTTTTTGTTAGTAGTATGAATGAGGAAAAATTATATTATCATCTATTTTCTATTGAGTTCTATTTTCAAACAAGATGTTTATATAGTTAGGTCAAAAATATAGTGCTAATTGTATTTTCTATAAATCTTAAGGAAGATGACAAGTCCAATTTACCCATTTTTATTTATAATTAATTACATTATGCTAATTTAGTCTAATTAAAAATGAATGTTAAAAAGTGGATTTTAGAATTGTGTGTTTACGCATCCAAGTATAATTGCCTTAGCTGGATTTCTTTTCTTGAAGGGTGCTTGTCATGAGTTTTGTTTTGATTATTTAAACCGTTTATTTTATAAAATTCTATGTATATATTATTTAAGAAAAAAAATTAAATTAATTTAATAATTATAACATTTTCTTTTTATTAAATTTATCTTGAGAAAACAAATAACTTCATATATTTGTATTGACTGCGTAATATTTGTTAAGAAAATTAATCTAACAAGTTTTAAAATATTCAATTCTTTCTACTTGTATATAAACTAATTATAAAATCGAATACATAGTTCATGTAAACGGATTCTGTTCAATTCTATAATATTTGTTAGAAAAAATACACATCAGTATATCTTTTAAAAAAAAAAAAATTAACAATTTTTTTTTATAAATATTAATAATCAAATTTATAAACTTTTTTATTAGTCTGTAAATATTTTATAAAACCCCACTAATGAGTAATTTCCCCATATTTGTTCAACTTTATTTTATTTTATTTTATTTTATTGTGCACAAGACATCTTGTTTATGTTAGTGCTTTGGCTAAAACAATATTGATTGGGTAGTAGCCTTTTCAAAAAGAGCAACCTTAATTATCAAATAATTTATTAAAAAAATTATCAATCACTCATGTGAGTGTTTGATATTTTTTTTAATTATTTATTTTAAAATATTAATCTCTTATTTTATTTTTTATTATCTTAAAATATTAGTCTCTTTTCAAAAATTAAGAAATAAAATAACATAACATAAATTTACTAGTTTTCTCTTCTTTTAAATTTATTAATAATATAAAAAGTATAATTATAACGATTAATATTTCAAAAAAATATATTATCAAAAGGTAATTTTAAAAAAATAATATTTTTAAAATATATAATAATTATACTTTTAAAAAAATTAAATTTCCAAAAAAAATCTCTATTTTATAACGGAAGAAGTAATAAATTACTTGATGTGTCTAGCATTTTTTTTTTCAAAAAAAATTATTTGCGACTGTCACAATCATTTGAAAGAGTGGCTGTTCAAAAAAAAAAAATCCATTTGATTGAGTGCCTCAACGGGCCCACACTGCCTCATTTTTGCAATTTTTTTTTATATTTACAATAATAATAAATTACTAGTAATAAACTCAATCTCAAATACTAGTTTGTTTGGTTTGTGTTTGTAGAGTGATTTTTGAAATAAAAAGTACGAAAACTTATTTGGTTTGTCTTTTTTCAGAAATGGTTTTGAGAAATTATTTTTGAAAGAGAGTTTTAAAAAAAGTGATTGATTTGATGTGTATGAGAGAGAGAGAGTGATTTTGGAAAGAAGCAAACCAAACAAAATTTTAAGATTTGTTTTTAAAAAAATTTATTTAGTTTGATTACTCTTGAAAATTAGTTTGTAGAGAATTTTTCCCAAAAACAAACCAAACAAGCTTGCACAATTACACTTTACTTACAATATGCTTAAAGCCGTCAAATAAGTTTCAATGGATGAATTAGTTATGAATATCAGTTTTAATCCACTTACTCACCACTTCTACCTCCTTATTGCACTTCCGCCACTACTACCACTATTGTCATTGCCACTACCACCATCCCGCCACAACCATCACCACCACCACAGCACCATAATTACCACCACGACCACCACTGAAGTAAGATTTTAATTACAATGTATGGATGCTAATGAAATAAAATAAGTTTTGTCAATTTAAGTAGTAGATGGACAAAACGATAACATGGTAAATTAATTTCAAGAATAAAGAGTTGATTGTTATAATTAAAAATAGAGTATTGCTATTAGCACTTTATCAATTATTTTGGACCCCCATTTCTTTAGCCCCTCACTTATAAATTTTAAAACCCTTAAAATTTCTTTTCTCTCCCATATAATACCAAAATTATCCTTGTGAAAACATTCTATCTATTCAATTGAATGCACACTCCCCACACCCTAAAAAACCTCTTTCCCAAAAACCTTAACAAAACTCACGAAGGTGATTTCTATTTCATCTTCGCAAACTTGTTCTTGACCTTACAGTGAAAAAATTAATGTTGGGTTTTTAATCTTTAATCCTTAGAATATATCAACAAGAAATTGTGTTGGGATTTTTGTGCTTGAAAAAGAAAAAGAAGAGTCGAGTGTGATTACTCTCAATTGCCTTGGCTTGGGTAGTGATATCTGCCACCTCATCCTTTTCTTCGGTTTGATCATTATTGGAGTTGGTTCCTGAACAAATAAGAAAGGTTTAGCTACCTGTGCCCGAACAAATAAATAATGTTCGGGCCTATATTCCTGAATTTTGATCATATGTTCGGGAGTTCAGTCTCCAAAAAATGACAAACAGTCTTTATTATTTTTGTCATTTTTTTTAAAGAAGCTTACATTTATAAGGCCAATCTCTTGAACACCATTAAAGTTATGAACTTCCTCTGAATTTTTATTGTTGTACTCCACTCGTCTCATAGAGTTGTGATTGTTGAAAAAATTTCCACTCATTGTTATTGCCGAAGAAGTGTAGGTAATTAAATGGTTGCTACTGTTACCGCTAAAATATTGCCGCCAAAGGATTTTTAAAGTTTTGAGGGTAGGTGAGTTTTGAAGGCAGAATTTAGAGAAGATAGGTGGGTGGTGATAGAGGAGGGTACTCTCATAAACTCTAATTCATGATGTAATGAGTGTGTGAGCTTAATTATGAGATGTGATGTTCCAAAATAATTGATATCTATTTTAATAATTTTATTTAAGGTTGTTGTTGTAATAAAAAAAAACTAAAAAAAAAGAAATACAAAATAATTAATAAAGTGCTAATAATAACACTCTTAAAAATAACGAGACCAAAATGAAATTAGAATGAAGTATATTTTATCGGCAATAATTACTGCTTCCTCAAAGTTGCTTTGTTTTTGTTGATAAAATCTGAATATTTGAGGTACCAACTACTGACATTATTTTTAAATAAAATTACACTGACATCTCTTGAAATTTTAAAAAAAATATGATAAATTTCATAAATTTAACAATTATATTAAACTCTTTGTGTTGCAATTCATATAATACTAAACCCCCATGTCATTAGAAATTTATTAGTTGTATGAATAAAAAATAAATATTGTCATCTCTTTTACATTAATATATTACCATGAGTATCTTTGTGTGTGCATATTATCTACACTAATTTTGATCTCTTTAAAATGAAGGTCAGTATAATTATATCAAAACTACAGACTTGCTGCATTTTTTTCAAACCTCAAAGAGGTCAGCCTAATTTACCCTTATTTTATTAACCTAAGCATGGTCCAATGCCACTGGTATTCTGGCAGAGAGAGATATTGATTTCAGAAGTTAGAAAGGTAGCCTTCTAAACAAGAAGAAGGAAACCTAAAAAGATAAAGAAAAGAAAATAAGAAAAAAAAAGCTTGAGAAACCTGACTTGCAAATGATTGAGATTCAATATCCCATCCCATAATGTCCAGTTCAAAAAAAAAAAAAAAAATATCCCATAATGTCCAACCCTTAATGGAAGTCTGAGTTCAATATATTTGAGGCTAGAGAAGAATAAATAGATTACATTCAAAAACCAAGCTCAGCCAACAAAGATATACTACTTTTATTGGTGAACTACAAACTGATGAATAAATATAAAAATATATTAAAATTGAGAACCGAAGATCATAAGCTGCTGCAACAACTAAAATTCACAGGATTTCAAGTTCTCATTGGCTTGGCCGAACTCCTCAAGTCTTCTGTAAAGTTTTTCCAGTAGTTGGCGGCAGATGAGAGGGGATGTGCAAGGCCCACACATGAGGTAAATAACATTGCCCAGAGGCCTCATGTAAATACCATCTTCACGGAGGTTCTGAAGAAGAGAGCGTGCATAAAGCGATGCATAACTGCACAAATTCAACTTGAGTTAAAAATCCTAACTGAAGGAAAGTATCAAATGCCAATGTAGGGACTGCAAAAACCTCTACTGCTACCAAAGAACAAAATTTCGTTTATTTTCCTTCTAAACAGTCCAGATGTTTCCGTTTCCTAAGAAAATGAAATATTGAAATTCAATGTTTCCACCAAAACATACTGAAATGCACCAAAATACACCAAACTATACACAACATGCCATAACATTGAGTTGTTTCGGCACTGATATATTTAACAATGCTCATAAATAATTTGAGGATAAAGAAAAGTATTAAATTTATTAGAGAACTGAAAAACTAGATAGGAGAGAGGAGAGATGGAGAGAGGAGAAGATAAAAGAAGCATGATTAAGTCACTTTTCTTCAATCCTACTACTGCTAAAATTTTGCCATTTTTTAAATGTTAAATTACTTCCGAAGCATTTCCCTTTCCAAGCTAAGTCAAAAATTTTACCAAAAAGATATTTCGATCCTTGACTGCTAGAACTTAAATAAAAAGCAAGCCGATACATAACTCCCTATTATTTATTTATTTGTTTTAGTCTTCGGAACTACTGCCAGTATCAACTGATCGTTTGGGAACATACTTTTTTAATAATATTTTGACTTTTTGGCTAAAACATGATAAAAAAAAAAAAAAAACTAGTATGTTTGGGATGACTTTTTAGTTTTTTACAAAAAGATGTGTATAAAGTAGAGAGAAAAGGAAATCTATGACTTTTTGGTATAGATTGTTGGCTTTTTGATTTTTTTAATGACTTTTTGACTTTTAAACTAAAAAGTGATGTTGCCAAATGAGCCCTTAATTTACAATAAATCAGTTAGGGAATACGTATAGACTGCTTACCATATGATGCATTGATGAGCCAACGTGTATAACAGATGCTGAGATTTTTTTTTTTCACAAAAAAAGATGTCTACAATTAGCCCTATCATTATTCTTTGGAGATATTGTTGCAAACAAGGGAACTCCGAAGCATAGATATGGATACGATACAATAAGGATACGATAAACATAAAAAAAGGGGCTCCCGGTACGGCTAGGATATGTTCGTTAAAAAATTTGAAAATTTCAGTATGGTATAATAAATAAACTCAAAGAATGGTAGATATTAGTTTTAGCACCACTAGTCAATTTACTTTTTGTTAGAATAATATCTTTGGTTATTGTGTATTGATTATTCTATTAGCGGTTATTTCTTTATTTGTGCCTCCGAGGCTTCCATTGTAAGCTATCTATTATCAATATAAAAGGGGATGATTGTCTAATCATTGTTTTTCTCTCTCAAACAAACAAGTTATCAGAGCTGTAGGGTTACCATCTCATTCTCCACCTTCACCCAACACCACCTGACTGCTGCCCACTGTATTTCAACCATCTCTGCTCTGTCCAGGGCCTGCGACAGTCACTGGTGAGCACCTAGGACCAGCCAACAGTCCCTGTTTCTTGTTCGGCTCAAGCCGAAAGCTCCTTGGCCTGTTTCGGCCTAAGCCGAAAGGCTCCCAGCCTATTTCGGCTTCAGCCGACAGACACTCTAAGGCTTCTTTGACCCACTGCATGTTTTGATTGGTTCATCTCCACCACTGTTCCTCACGTCTAGCAAGGTTTTGCCTTTTTTTTTTTTTTTTTTAAGAATAGCTTAGCCTTAGCCCTTGTTTTGATTGGAAGTTCTTTTTACATTTAGTTTATTTATTTTTTAGGTGATATGGCTCCATTACCCAGCTTTGACTGATTGGTATGCTCCTATCATAGTTTGTGATTGATATTGCTTGGTCCAGTTGATTTTATTCTCTCTTCGAGTATTTGTGATTAGTGCAGGTTATTCGGTTTTTTAAGTATAAATGGCCAACCTTACTAGTGTTCCACCACTACTTCTTAGCCACCTAGTCATGAGAGTCCCATTACAACTAATACATCCGAAAACCTAGATCCTAGCACCACCTCTCTGTTTAGTGGTCAGAACTATCTTGCTTGGTCACAGTGTCTGACACTTTTCTCGAAGAGTAGAGGAAAGATGGGTCATGTTCATGGGAGGGTCAAGGCACCGGGCATCACTGATCTTGGTTAACCGATGGGAGATTACCAATTTTTTAATTATGGGATGGCTCATTCATTCTATGGTACCCGATATTTGGGAAGGCTACTTCTCCATGGATATCGCCCAGGATGTTTGGGATGCTGTGGCTACTATTTATTCCCGGAAGGGGAATTTCTCACAAATTTTTGAGTTGTGTCGTTCTATTGAGCGCTCAGTGCAAGAGATGTGCTTCAATACTACACTTTTCTTAACAATAGCTAGAAACGTCTTACATATCTATAGGATTATAAGCATGTTTGTGCAACTGATTTAGTGGGTTACCGAAAGTTTATTGAACAGGAAAGGGTCTTCAAATTTTTGGAAGTTCTCAAATTAGAGTTTAATCTTGTTAGGAGTCGCGTCCTTGGTATGGAGGTTCTTCCCTCCCTTCAGGAGGTCTTTGCATACGTACAGAATAAGGAGAGCTGCCATTATGCTATGCTGCCACCTTCCTCTACAGAGCGCTCAACCTTACTTTCTGCTCCTTCTAGGGATGGTAGTGGTCTACCTTGTACTTCCCCTAGTCCTTCAGAGAAGGATACACTATTCTGTGATTATTGCCACTGGCTGAGACATACCTGTGAGACTTGTTGGAAGCTTCGTAGGGTTCCTTCTAATGGTCGTGATGACTATTCTGGTAGTTGTGGTGGTTACTCTAGATGGTCGTGCACATCATACCAGTGCAGTGGATACTCTTGACGGCCTCTTCAGTTGCTTCTCCTAGTGGTGATATATCTGGAATGTCTTCTTCTGAGTTAGAGAATGCTTTGCACCACCTACTGGATCGTTGCTCTTCTACTACCCCATCCGGTACATCCTCCTCGTCTTTTGTCCACTCAGATAACTTAGCCGCTTAGTCTTTACCTTAGATTATTAATTCTGGTACCTCGGATCATATGTCTAGGTCTTCTGATCTGTTCTCGACATATAAGCCTTCTTCAGGTTAAGGCAAAGTTAGGCATGCAGACAGTACTATTTCTTTTGTTTCTGAGAAAGGTTTAATCCATGCCACTCCTTTCATACCATTATCTTCTGTTTTGCATGTTCTTAATTTATCTGTTAATCTTTTATCATTGAGTCGTCTAACTCATGACCTGAATTGTAGTGTAACTTTCTTTCCTAATCATTGTTTGTTTTAGGATCTTATCATGAGGAAGACGATTGGCAGTGGTAGAATAGAATATGGTCTCCACATCCTGGATCAAGAGGACAAGCTGGCACTTCATTCCATCATGTTTTCAACCACCAAGGAAGACCTGTGGTTGTGGCATCAAAGTCTTGGTATCCATCGTTTCTATTACTTAAGCATTTATTTTCTTTTGTTTTTATAAACAATAATATCTTTGAGTTTCATTGTGAGTCTTGTCAACTTAGAAAACAACATAAAGCTTCTTTTGCTCCAAGCTTAAATAAAAGTTTAGTACTTTTTTCCTTAATTCACTCTGATGTTTGGGGTCCATCTCATGTTATGTCTTTAAAAGGTCATAGATGGTTTGTGTCTTTTATCGATGATTTTTCTCGTATTATTTGGGTGTATCTTATGAAAGACAAAAGTGAGATCTTTTTTGTGTTTTGTAATTTCCATAAAATGATATATACTCAATTTGGGACAATTGTCAAAATATTGCGTTCTAATAATGGGGGTGAGTATATATTGATTCTGGTCTAGCAAGCTATTTTTCCACCCATGGCATTAGTCACCAGACTTCTTGTACCGACACCCCTCAACAAAATGGGGTTGCGGAATGCAAGAACCGTCATCTTTTGATATAGTTTGTTGCATGTCTTTTTCTATGCACGTGCCTAGGTCTTACTGGAGGGGGAGGAGTTCTCACTGTTTCCTACCTCATCAACCGTCTCCCAACCCAAGTGTTGCACAAAAACTATCCTCTCTATGTTTTTTTAGATTCTGAGTCTGTGTTTTGTATTCCCCCTAAAGTCTTTGGTTGTGTCTGTTTTGTCCACAATCATACTTTTTCTCGTAGTAAATTTGATTGGGTTATAAGTATTACCATCCTCCATCTCGTAAGTGGTTTGTATCTATGAATGTCACATTTTTGAGTCACACAATCTTATTTTTTATCACAGTCCTCCTCGGGGTCCCGGTCCTCCCTTCAGGGGAAGCCTTGGTGTTAAGGGATTCCTGGGTCTATATTAGTTTCTGGCTCATCACCAGTGGTTGAGAACACAGAAGGTGAACCGGCTACCAATGGTGGAAATACAAAACTTAATGAATTGAAGGAGGGAAAAGTCTATGTCAGGGACAAAAACAAACAGAAAGTTACTTTGATCACTTTTGATCATCCACTGCTATCTTCTTCTTCTGATGAAAGTCCAAGTAACTTTGAAACCCTAATTCCTCCCGAGTATATTAATCTTGATATTCCTGTTGCCCAACAAAAAAGTGTGAGGTCTTATACTAAACATCCTATTTCTAACTTTGTGTCTTACTCTAATTTGTCTCCTTCTTATAGAGCCTAGTTTCTTCTATTAGGATACTTAAATCATTTTCAGAATGCTTTTGCTACATGCTATGATAGAAGAAATGAAAGCATTTCGCAAGCATAACACTTGGGAATTAACCGAGTTACCTAAGGGCAAAAGACTTGTAGAATGCAAATGAGTGTATACTGTGAAACATAAAGCAGCATGGTTCAATTGAGCATTACAAGGCTCAACTAGTAGCGGAGGGCTTTACTTAAACTTATGGAGTGGACTATCAAGAGACCTTTTTTTTTTTTTTTTTTTTTTTTTTGGATAAAACTATCAAGGGACCTTTGCACTAGTGACTAAGATGAATTTGGTCAGAGTACTTCTCTCTCTTGCAACTAATCTGGATTGGTCACTTCATCAGTTTGATGTAAAAAATACTTTCTTATATGGTGATCTAGAAGA